GGACCTTTTTCAAGGGCCAGGAGGCAGATATAGGCATGGAAATCGATGTCAGTTTTGATAGTCTAGGAGCAGTAACTTGTGGCAACTTGGCCGAAGATGATACAATATTCTTCTTTGTCCCAGCCAAATTTCTTCCCTTTTTAGTTGGAATCACCTAAACAACCGAAACAAATAAATTAAAACACCAGATCAGTCAAATCAGTTAAACAGATTTTAAGATTAGATTACTCAATACTAAAAATGCCAAATAAGTTCCAATACTTGACCTTTTGAACTTGATTTCGTGCATTCAATTTGGGATTTTCCTTTTTAATTACACTGGCTTTTTCTGCCCTGCCTTTCATTTTTGATGGCTGTTTCGCACTGTCCTGAGAATCCTTTTGAGGGATCACTTCCTTCACCAAGACAGGTTCTTTTCTATCATTTAATTCAGTGTTAACTGCATTAGCATTCAACTCTTCCTCATCTTCCTGGTCTCCCGAGTTTCCACCCTCTACAGTCACAGTGGCATCCTCTTTTGTCAATCCAGAAGGGGTTATCCTTGTCAAATCAGTCGTACAGGTTTCGGGCTCAATTTCTTCCATCTGTCCAGCATCATCATCTCTTGCCTCATCAAAAGTGATTACATTATCAACTACTTCGCCAGATTTATCATCATTGGATTCGCCCGACTCAGTATCCAAACAAGTCAGGTTTCCAAAGTGATCCTCTCTGATTGACTCATCGGGGCTTTGACTAATAGGTTCCGTTGGATTTTCCTCCAACTGTTCGGCCTTCCGAGCAGCAATTTTTTTGTAGTGTGCTTCAAAATAGGCCTTCTTCTGAGCTACTGATCCTGGTGTTGAAATATTTTCAACTTCCTCCATATACTTATTTGGTGAAAACGACGACCATTTCTCCCAAGAAAGTGAATCATTCTCAAACCTACCAAATGAAACTGACACTTCCAGTCTAGCTTCAGATTCAACTGTCTCACCCATCTGCTCAAATAATTCAAGATCCAAAATTCAACTATGGGACAGATTTACAACTCACAACAAGAGGGTAAAAACAATAATTTCCATTTATCAAATAAGAAGTGCGTCAAGAATCCATAACAAACAGAATATATTCAAGAAACAATTGTGGGAAACAAAAGAGTAATCATATGGGCCACTCAAAA